GAGTCTGCTGCTGGCGCGGACCACCACCTCGACCACCACCACCCCTGCCGCCACCACGTCCACTGCCGCCACCACCACTGCCCCCACCCCGGCCACCCCCTCCCTGGCGCCGCCTCCACCCCCGCCGCCGCCACCACCCCCACTGCTGCCACTAGCCCCTCCAGCCCCTCCACCACCCCCACCCCCGCCACTGCCCCCACCACCGCCCCCCCGCTGTCACCACCACCTCCCTTGCCCCCTTTGCCTTTGCCGCTGCGGCGCCCACTCGGAGTGGACGCTGTTCCGGCTTGCTCAGTCCCAAGGAGGTCGGCAGTGGCAGAAGAGGCGACAGAGGGGAACACCCCTCAAAGAAAGGGGTGCGGGGGTCGCCACGAGAGGTACCTACAGCGACTATGCTAGTCTCAGCTGCAAGCAGTTCCTTCTCGAGCAGATCAATGGTGAGCTCAGTGGGGCAGCGAGCGAGGAAGTGGTCCCTAACCGCACGAAGAGAGTCAGGGAGATGGGTGACGAAGTGGTAGAGAGTCAACCACAGCGGGGGGGGTTCTTGGCAAGAAACTCAGCGGGCATAGCGGCACGGAAGCGGGCCTCACTAGAGCGGAGGTGCGTGATGAGATCAGCGACTGTAGAGAAGGCGGACAGGTTTGGGAACAGGTAGGGAAGCGAGAGACGACCTAGCGCAGCATAGGTAGGTGAGGAGTAGCGCGCAACGACAGCTTTGTACAGTGCCTGTGCAGTCTTGTGCTGGCCAAAGTGCTCGCGCTCATCTAACGGCAGGGAGGCGCGGATAGCGAAGCGAGCGTGGGCGTCACGAGTCTGCCACTGTGAGCGGGCAGTGCTGTCAGCATCAGCTGTAGGGGCAGCAGCGTGGCCTAGCGCGTGATCGTACAGTGAGATATCCTCCTTGGCAGCGAGCTAGAGATACAGGTGCAGGTCATCGAGCCAGGTGTCAAATTTCAGCGGGCGGCCCTCAGAATCGAAAGCGAGCACGGTAGGGCTAGCCATGGCCGCAGGAGGAGCAGTAGTGGCAGCGGTAACAGCAGTAGTGTCGGTAGCAGTGACAGTAGCAGCAGGAGCACGGCTCGGAGGGCGGCGCGGTTCTAGCAGGGCGGCGCGACTCGACAGGGGCGGCGCGGCTCGGCTGGATCAAGGCGCTAGCGGGGCTGCAAGGGCAGGGCTGCGCGGAGGGAGGCACGCGAGGGCGTGTAGGGTGGGGCGGGGCCTGGTCTCACAGGGCGCGCAAGGGCGGGCTGGTGGGGCGGGGCCGGGACTCGAGGGGCACGCGAGGGCGTGCAGAGCGGGGCGGGGCCTGGTCACGCGGGGCACGCAAGGGTGAGCTAGCGGGGCGGGGCCTGTTCCCGAGAGGCACGTAAGAGCGCGCGGGTGGGGTAGGGCCGGCCGCACGAGGCACGCTAGGGCGCGCGGGTGGGGCAGGGCCGGTCGCACGAGGCACGCAAGGGCGCGCGGGTGGGGCGGGGCCGGTCGCTAGGGGCACGCAAGGGCGCGCGGGTGGGGCGGGGCCGGTTCGTAAAGGGCGCGCAAGGGCGCGCGGGGCAGCGGGTCGCGTAAGGGCGCGCTTCGAGGAGGGCGGGGCCGATCGCGAGGTGCACGCTAGGGCGTGCGGGCTGAGCGGAGCCGGTTCGTAAGGGGCACGCTAGGGCGCGCTACGGGGCAGAAACGAGGTGCGCTCGCGGGCGCGACTAAGCGAGGCGCGCTCGGGCGCGACTAACGGATTAGGTGGGCCCTATTATCGGTCCTAGGTTACGACCTAGGCTCGTAATACCACGTTAGAAACTTAGAACGAACGAGAATGGTGAAACTAGGCAAGAGAGGGATACAAGTAGGAAACCCTAGCAATGTTGTACCCCCTAAGACTAAACCCACTATAGCCTACACAGTATAAACATAAATAATGTTTGACATTATCTTGTCAAGCAGGGTGTATCTCACGCCACCCAGCTTTGAGGGGGGGACGTGTGAGAGTACGACGGCTTATGCCAGCCATGCATGCTTGCTTTTATCTTATTACGCTATTACTAGCTTAGGTTTATTTTATGCATGCATGAATTGCTTGATTTCCTAGGCTAGGTGCTTTCCTATATTTTATTATAGTTATAGCACAGAGTAAGGTTGCGTACACCGAATTCTAGGCTATTCGGTTGCCACCGAATTGCCTTCTACCAAATTCGGGAAGGGTCTGTTTGGGACGCTTCGCGACCCTCGGAACCTTCGCGTAACACCTGGTTACTGCCCCTTGTGTCGAGCCTATATATAGCCTTGTGTTGTACCCTTGTGACCATTCAATTCAAATCATCTTTTCTGAGCTCGATCCTAGATCCTCACATACAAGCACTTGCGAAGTTGGTGCTTGCACATGCGCTTCCAATCACCTGCAGTTGCAGCGTTGGCAAGCCGCACGAGTGCAGCGTTGGCAAGCCACGCATGTGCAGCATTGGCAGGCCGCCATTCTGTGGCGTTGGCAAGTCACGCACGAGCTACGTGTCAGAATCCCAGTCACTAACCACTGGGATAAAAGGGCTTGTTTGTATAGCGGGTGAGTGCGCCCATAACCCCCCAGGCCGACATGCCTGTAACCCTTCCCTAGGATCATCGGGGATCTCCAGTGGACCTCTGACACCCCCCCGCACTGGGATGCCCGAAGTGCATACACCGGGATTCGAACCCGAGACCTTCGCTCTGATACCATGTCAGAATCCCAGTCACTAACCACTGGGATAAAAGGGCTTGTTTGTATAGCGGGTGAGTGCGCCCATAACCCCCCAGGCCGACATGCCTGTAACCCTTCCCTAGGATCATCGGGGATCTCCAGTGGACCTCTGACACTACGTTGGCAGGTCGACGAGTTTGTCGCGCTGGCAGTCGACCTGCTTGTGCACGAGCAAACATTGCATCTGATGTAGTCAATCTTTTCCATTGCTTGTTCATTATGTATTCTCAACTTTCCTAGTCAAACTCTTGTTTTGCCCTGTGAACGCACAAGTGCTAGAGAACACAGACAGAACTACGATCACCATGTACAACTCGTGCCTACCCTGTGGTCTAGCTCTCACCGTTGTAGATTTTATCTCTGCATCCTCGATTTGGCGCATGAGTTCGTCGAGACGCTCCTGCGTGAACGTCGCAAGCTGGGCGCTGTCGAATGCGGACATTGCTGGGGTGTCGGGCTAGCTCAGTGAGAGCCTCAGTTTTGGTTGGGTGAGCTTACAATAGAGTACACGAGCAACAGTGCTTGGTCGCGGAGGGACGTCCACCCCCTCCAAAATTTGAGATAAATGTGTCAGTGAAGGTGTGGGCGTGGTCCGAAAAGGGTCGTGGCTCAGGATACCAAGTGTTATGAGTGCAATTGAGCGAGCGAGCGAGAATTGCACTACCGAAGCAAAAACAATACATCGAGCGAAAGGAATGAGCGAAGATTATACAGCGACTCTACCGTGGTAACGGTAACGCGAGAAATTGGGGTGTGCTACGTGCCTAGCACTGAGGTTAGGAAATGGCGAGGGAGGTTCGGAGCGTGGGTTACCAATCGAACGGTGTGGTTAGGTCTCTTCGTGAACAGTGGCGGGAACAATGACCGAGGCGAGTGTCGCAAGTGGTAACGGTGCACTATTGGGGACTGTAGGCGCTAACAGTTGTGTACGTGGTAAGCAGGGGCGCGAAGTGAGGAAAAGGATTTTCCTGACGTAAACCCTTTTAAGAAAAAGGTTTCACCTTACATCCCCCAACTACACTCAATCAGAGTGTGCTCCCACCTGTGGCCTGAAGTTATCAATCAAAGCGCCCTCCAGCAGAACCCTGAGCTCAAACCGTGCCAGCGAACCAGCCTGCCCAGCCAAGCCGCTCGCTGCCGCTGCACCCCACGAGCTTCTTCCGAGCCTCAGCTCCGGTCCGAGTGAGCTCTGACCCCTGTCCGACTTTGCTTGGGTGCGGTTAGGGTTTCGACTCTCGGTCCGCCATGCCTCCCGCTTCCTGCCTCTCATCCTCCAGCAACACTCTGCCTGGCAGGCACTTGTGTCCCATAATTGACATCTCTAATCTCAAACTCGATTCACCCTTATCCGTGAGCCATTTTCACGGTCTAAACTTGAATAAGCATGGGCTAGGGAAGCGCGCTGCGATGCAGGGATTCCCGGCGCATGTTCGCGAATGCAGTGAAGGTGTCGGGCAACGCGGGCACGAGGTGCGGTTAGGGTTTCGTCTCTCGGACCCGATGCGTGTGCGGGCGGTCCTCGGACTCCGGGCACGATCTTCGATTCCGAGTTGCTTCGTCTGACGCTTGAGCCGCGCATGCTCTTAGCTGCGACCTTCGCTAGAGCACCATCGCCTCTTGCGCATCGCTTCGCGGGCAGTCGCTGTCGCAGCAGCGGCATCAGCAGCAGCAGCGGCAGCTCGTCGCGTCGCGTGTCGTCTGCGCCAGCCGTCCGCCATGGCCTCCTCCTCCAGCGTCCTCGAATCCGTAAGTTCCGCCGCCGCTGCTTCTCTCGCGCGCCCGTGAACCCTGTCGCGCCATATTTTGCTCGCGATTCTTTGCGCTGGTTTATCGCGCACTCTCGTGTCGCCGCCGCGCGAACCATCTCACACGGCCGTCTTGCGTCCATCCCGCTCATCCCGCGCGCCCCTCTCGCCGCCTTGTCGCCTCCTCCACATGCGCCCCACGCCGCCCCCCGTTCCACCCCACGTTCCGATCTGCTCTCGCCTTTTCCCATCTTGCCTCGTTCCCTCGCGGCGCTCGCGACGGGAATCGAAGCAATTGTGGCTCCATTAGCATGCGACGGGACGTCGCGCCATTGCTCGGCGGCTTGCGCCACTGCAAATGACTCATCTCTACCCAATTGATTCCCGCACGATCGTGTTTCGTTCTCCGCATAGCACGGTCGCATGGTCGACATGCTGTGTCTCTCTCGCATCCGCATAGCACTCTCAGTTGCGCAATCGCCCACGCGCAAAGCGTCACTCTTTAGATCCCCGTCTCTATAGATGCGCGAATGCGCGGCTCCCTGGTCTACGCGCAACTCCCCTGTCGAGATTTGCGGGGAAACCTTGTAATCTCGCGCGCTCTCGCGGCGCACCCACTCCCCGTGTCGCCGCACCGTATGCCGCCGCCACGAGTCGCCATGTCCGCGTCGGCACAGCCCGCCCCCTGCTCCCTGCGCTTTCGCGCACTGCAGCATGCGGAGGCGCGAGGAGATGTAACGCGCGCAATTACATGCGGCGCGCACGTCCGTTCCGATCCAAGCTTCCCTTCATTACGTTGCGCAAACGGGCTGCCGGTTCCCCCGTGCGCCCGTGCCCCTTCCTTCCCCCCACCCCCCCTTCCGCCCCCCTTGCGCCCTGTGCCCCCGTGCCCCGTGCGGCGTGCGCCGTGCCGCGCAGGACGACTTCATGGGGCGGCTGACGGCGGCGCTGGGCGATCTGCAGCACCGCTTCCAGGGCTCCGTCACCAACGTCTCGCTAGGTCCGCTCCCGCGCCCGCGCCCGCCTCCCCGCCCGCCTCCCCGCCCGCCTCCCCGCCCCTCCGCCGATCCCCTTCTCCCCGCAGCCCCGCACTCCCGCTCTCCCGCTATTTTCCACTCTGTTCTGTTCTGTTCCTCGTCTCTATCGTCCCCCGCTTGCCCCCGCTCCGCGCGCGTCTGTGCACGATCTCCAGTGCGCGCAAGGCCGCGTTGGAGGAAGTCACTGCGTGCGCTGCGCACAATCCATGTTAAGTGCTTAATGTCATTTCGCTTTAACCGCATCTGCTCGCCGTGTTCGCGTGCGCGGGTGCGCGCGTCCGCGTGTGCGCGCGTGCGCCGTGCGCCCGTGCTGTGCGTGCGTGCGTGGCAGGTCCGCTGTACGGCGAGTACGGCACGTTCCTCCCCACGCACGTCACGTCGTCCGGGGCTGCTGCGGCGCCCTCCGCGCGAGACGCACCCCGCAGCGGTGGGGGGACAGCGGCAGGAGCAGGCGGAGCCGGGGGGGGAGCTGGTAATCCAGGCGCGGGGGGGGCGGGGGCGGCGGGAGGGGCGGGGGCGGCAGGAGGCGGCGAGGACGGCGGGAAGGACGGCGCGGGGGGCGGGCGGGCGGACGGAGGCGCGGAGGCGGGCGATGGCGGGCAGTCCGCGCGCAGCGAGGGCGACTGCATGCAGGTGCTGCGCTCGCCGCCCCTCTCGCGCTCGCTCGATTGTTCGCCTTTTGCCATGCCGCTCTCTTCCTCCCCCCTACCCCATCCCCCCTCCCTCGTCCCTTCTTCCCCCCGCTCTCCCTCTTTCCCGTCCTTTTCGTTGGCCCCCCAACCCCTCCCCCTTCCCCCCCTCTCCATTCCGCTGATTCTTGTGCAATACGCGCGCATGTCACGCACCCCCACGCCCCAACCCCACGGGCCCCACCCCCCCGTTCCCCGCCCCCCGTGCCTCCGTCCCGGCTTGCGCGCGCGCGCAGGTCATTCCGCTGCTGGAGGCGGACATGGGCCCCACGGGCATGCTGGCAGTGGCGCGCAGCAGCGTCCCCGCCGCCATCCCCGGGCCTTCCGCCGCGTGGCTCCGCGAGCAGCAGAGTCACAGCCACGCGCACGCACCAGCACCACCACCACCACCACCACCACAGCCACTCCGCGGACGCCGCCGACGGCGCGGAAGGGGCGGACGGGCGCGCGGGGAGCGGCGGGACGGGTCAGGCGGGGGGACGGGAGCGGGGACTCAGGGGAGGGCGAGGAGGAGGGGATGCAGGAGGTGCGGCGTGGGGGCGCGGGCGCCAGGGAGCAGGACGGGCGGAAGGGGGAGAAGACGGGGGGAAGTGGGAAGGGGAAGGGGAAGGGGCGGGGGGAAGGGGAGCGTGCGGTCAGTGAAAATCAAGCTGGGCGGGCGGGCCGTGGCGCGGGAGGGCGCGGGCAATGGCGCGGCGGGGGGAGGAGGAGGCAGCAGTCCGGGCAGGAGCGGGGGGGCGAGTGGGGCGACGAGAAGCGGAGGCGGCGGGGGCGAGGGCGAGAGGAGGGCGTGGCAGGGCGGGCGAGGAGCGAGGCGTGGGACATGAGTCTGGATGACATTCATGGGGTGAGTCTGAGTTATGACTGTTAGAGTCTCAATGCGCGCCCTGCTCGTCCACCCTCTCACCGCCTCGCCCTCCCTCCCACCCAACATTGCCTTGTCACCGTGCGCCTCGCATTCTCTCCATCCCACTGCCTCACGTACCTAACTTAACCCCCCCCCTTCCTTCCCCCCGTCCTCCCTCCGTGTGCCCTCCCTTGCCCCACCCCCACCGTTGCGCATGTGTGTGCGTGTGTGCGTGTGTGCGTGTGTGCGTGTGTGCGTGCATGGCAGCTGCTGACGGCGCACGTGGCTGTGAAGCTGCTCTCGCCGCTCGCCTCGCTCCTCACGCCGCCGCCCCACCAACCTTCCGTCTTCCCGCCCCCCCTCTCGCCCCCTCCGCTCAACAATGTGCGCTCTGCTCCGCCCCCCCCCGCGCGCGCCAACGGCGTGCATGCGCCAGGGCGCGCGGATGCGCAGGCAGGGGCGGAGGGGAAGGGGAAGAGGGACGCAGGGCATACCGGGTCCGCGCAGGGCGTGGGCGCGGGGAGGGACGAGGGGCGGAGGGGGGACGATGGGCGGAGGGGGGACGATGGGCGGAGGGGGGACGAGGGGCGGAAGGGGGACGAGGGGGCAAGGTACAGGCAGTGGCGGCTGTCCCCCACAGGTGCAGCGCAGCAAGCGCAAGGGCGGGGGGGTAGCGGAGGCAGTGGCAGTGGCAGCGGCGTGAGGGGGTCCGTGTCTCCCCCCCCTCGAAGCCGCCTCGCTTCCCGCTCTGCTAGCCCTGCGTCCCGCGCCAGGCTAGGCACGCCGGACGGCGCGGGGTACAGCCCTGGGTTACCCGCGAAAAAAGAGGGCGGTGGCGGGGTTTCTGGGCGGAAGGCAGGCGGAGGCAGCGGGGGAAAGGAGAGGGGGCTGGAGGAGGAGGGTGGCGCAGGGGGGAAGGACGGGAAGGGCGCACGGGAGGGCGGGGATAAAGTGGTGGAGGTGAGGAGTGAAGGGGGCAAGAAGCGGGGGAAGGGGGATGCGGCCCAGGGGAAGGGCGGAGGGGCGGACGCACAGGGGGGGCGGCCAGGCGCAGGGGCGCGGGAGGGCGGTGGCGCCTGGGCGGGCGGCAGCAAGGATGGCGCGCGGGGGAAGGCGCAGGGGGGGGAGCAGGGGGAGGCGAGGGCGGAGAGGGGGGTGGTGGGTGCGGGAGAGAAAGAGGGCGAGCGGGCGGTGGTGGGTGGTGGAGGAGAGGTGCGAGAGGGGAAGGAGAATGGCGCGTGGGGCAATGGTGTTCCCAGTGGGTCTGGATCAGAGGAGGCGGGCGGGGAGAGGTGGAGAGAGAAGGAGGGCGCGAGGTGGCGGGGTGAGGGGAGGGAGAGGGGGAGGGGCAAGGAGCGGGGTGGGGAAGAGGGGAACGGGGAGGCGGGGAGGGAAGAGGGAACGAGTGATGGTGGCAAGGCGAGGGAGGGAGGGAGGGAGAAGAAGCAGCGGAAGCAGGGGAGGGAGGAGAGGGATGGTGAGGGGCAGGGAGACGCAGCGAGGGGTGGTGAGAAGCGAGGTGGGGAGAAGGAGGCAAGGCGGCGGGGGGACGGGGAGGGTGAGAAGGAGGGCGAGAGGGATGGCAGCAGGAGGGGTACACAGGGTGGGATGAACAGCGCGAGGGGGGGGGCGGCGAGAGAGGCAGGGAGGGCGCGGAGGAAGGGGAGGATGCTGTAGAGGGGGAGAGACGAACGGGGGAGGCAGCAGGGAGTGGCATGTCGCGTGTGCTATCACTGGCGGAAGGCGAAGCAGCGCTGCGCAATGGCCTGGTGGCGGGCGGCTCTGGGGGGAGGGGCGTGGGGAAGAAAGCACCCAAAGGGGCTGCTGCTGTGGATACAAGCCGAGGGGGCGGGGCGGGCGGGGTGGAGGGCATTGAGGAAGGGCGAGGGCGGGGGAAGCCGGAGGGGGCGTGGGAGGAGGGCGGGAGAGGGGGCAAGGTGGGGGGGGCGGGGGGTTCGAAGAAGCGAGCGCGGGAGGAGTGGGACGGGGAAGGGCAGGAGGGCGATGGTATGGGTGGGCTGCCCCATGCTGCCAGCACAGGGGGACGCGCGGCAGGCGCAGGCAAGGAGAGGACGGGGAAAGGCATCCGGGAAGGGAAGAAGGACCGTGGAAAGCAGTGGGGGGGAAGGCGGGGAAAGGCGAGCAGGGAGCGGCGCGGGAGAGAGGTGCTGCAGGGGATGGCTCCGTCCCTGCTGCTGCTGCTCCTGCTGCTGCTGCTGCCGCCGCGCCTGCACTGCCCCTGGCTGCTGCAGAAGGGGGCGGGGCGGAGCAGCTGAAGGACGACTGGGTGGGGTGCGAGGCGTGTGGCATGTGGCGCCTGCTGCCGCCCTCCATCCAGCCCTCGTCGCTGCCAGACGAGTGGTACTGCCACATGAACACATGGACGTGAGTGCACTGCCTCCCACACTCCCCATGCCACTACTGCTCTCTTACCCTCCCTCCTCCTCGCCCCTACCTGATTCCCCCCTGCATGCCCCCATTCCCAGCTCTGCACCTCCTCCACGTTGTGAGAGACTGTCACTTCATCCACATTCTGCTCTGCCCTTGCCTCGGCCTTTTTTTTTTTTCCCGCAGCATTCTCATTCTCTCCCCTTCCCTCTCTTCCTCCCCCCCTCCCCTCTTTCCTCTCCCCTCTCCTCTCTTTCCTCCCCACTCTCCCTTCTTTCCTCTCCCCTCTCCTCTCTTTCCTCCCCACTCTCCCTTCTTTTTCCTTCCCGCTCCCTGCTCTCCCCTCTCCCGTCTTCCCTCGCCCCTCTACCCTCGCCCTCTACCCTCGCCCCTCGCCTCTCATGGCGGCCCGTCAACAGGCCCGAGTTAGCGCAGTGCGATGTGCCCGAGTATCGCACATCAGCAGCAGTCTACTACTCGCTCGGCCTGCCCTTCCCCACGCACCTCCTCCCCCCAGGCGCCACTCTCCCCCCTCCGCCGCCCTCTGTGGTCGCTGCCATGCAGGCAGCTGCTGCTGCCGCCGCCGCTGCTGCTGCTGGCGGTGGTGCCGCCGCCGCTGCTGCTCCGGGTGGTTCTGTTGGTGGTGGTGGTGCGGCGGTGGGGGGGATGCGGGCGGGAAAGGAGGGAAGGCGCCGAAGCTTGGAAGGTCAGAGGAGTAAGAGGAGCGTGGGGCAGGTGCAAGTTGGGGGGAAGAAAGACAAGGGGGGTGAGAAGGAGTGGAAGAAGGGAAGGGGGAAGGGGAGAGGGGAGGATGACGATGAGTGGATGCAAGGAAAAAAGGGGTGGGGCAGGGAGGAGAAGAAAAGGCAGGTGGAGGGAGAGGTGCGAGAGGAGAGGAGGGAGGGAGAGAGCGGATCGGAGAGAAAAGCGGAGGAGGCGAGATAGCAGTGAGGATGGCCGTAGCTTTGCTGCGGCTGCTGCTGCCGCCGGTGGTGGTGCTGCTGCTGGTGTTGCTGCTGGTGCTGCTGCTGGTGATGGTGGTGTGGCGGGCGAAGGTGGTGTTGATGGGGGTCGGGTTGACTGGGACCGAGATATAGAGGAGATGGAGCGAGAACGAGAAAGGAGAGAGAACGAGAAAGAGAGAGGGAACGAGAGAGGGAGAGAGAGAAGGAGAGGGAGCGAGAGAGGGAGAAAGAGGGGGAGAGGGAGAGTGAACGGGAGAGAGAAAGGAGCGTGAGGAAGGGAGGTTGAGGGAGCGGGGGCGGCGTGAAGGGTTGGCAGGCGAAGCAGGGGCGGGCGGGGGAATGGAGAGAGTTTGGGGAAGGGTGGCGACGAGAGAGTGGGTAAGGATGCAGAGGGTCCCGTAGACAGCAGGGCAGGCAGGCATGGCCGCGTGTGCAGAGAGGGCCGGGATGGGAGGGATGGGAGGGATTGGAGAGAGGGGAGAGAGGGGAGGGATGCGAGGGATGGGAGGGATGGGAGGGAAGGGAGGGAGGGACGCGATTGGAAGGGCAAGGAGCGGAGAGAGAGTGAGGAAGGTGGTAGGGAGGTGGGGAAGGCGAAGCAGGAGGGTGGCGTGGAGGAGCGAGGGCGAGGTGAGAGAAAGCGAGACGCGGGTGAGTGGCAAGCAGGGGCGGAGGTAGGGAAGAGGGATGCGAGCAGGAGAGACGGTTGGGGGAGTGAGAGGAAGGGCGGGGACAGTGGCAAGGCAGGAGGCGAGGAGAGGGGAGCAAAGGCGGAGAAGCGGGAGGAGGAGGGCGCAGAGCAGGGCGCAGGCACGGGGGTGATGGTGGGTGGTCGCGAGGCTGCAGGGGTGGGCGTGAAACAGGAGGTGGGGGGCGGCAGTGGTGGGGGGGTAGTGGGGTTGGTGGGGGTGTTGGTGGTGGTGCTGGTGGTGGTGCTGGTGGTGGTGCTGGTGGTGGTGGTGGTGCTGCTGGCGGTGCTGGGAAGCAGTCGCCGCGGTCGCCAGCAGGTATGGGCGTGCAGGGAAGGCCTGCCATCAGCATCCTCACCGCCTCCTCTTCTGCAGCGCCTGCTGTGCCCGTGCCTGGGCGGATAGGAGGCTGGGAGAAGCAGGAGAAGGAAGAGAAGCAGGAGAGGCAGGAAAAGCAGGAGAAGGCAGAGAAGCAGGTGTGGCAGGAGAAACAGGAGAAGCAGGAAAGGCAGGAGAGGCAGGAGAAGTTAGCAGGGAATGGGAATGCAGCGGACGCAGTGCACGCTGTGCTCCCCGTGGCCCCCGCACAGGCGTGGCCGAGCGACAAGGACAAGGCCACGCAGGGACAGCCTTCCCCGCCCCTGCCTGCTGCAGGTGCACAGGCAGAGTCAGCAGGGGGGGCAGTGGGTGCAGCAGTGGGGGCAGGCGGTGCAGGTGGTGCAGTGGTTGCAGTCGGTGCAGGCGGTGCAGTGGAGGGCGAGGAGGAAGCGCAGCAGGAGGTGGAAATGGATGTGGATGACGGGCAGGACGAGCGTGTCGTCGCCTCGCTCTCCCGCCCCTTGCCCCACGCCCACTGGCCCGCCGCACCCCCCCGCCTCCGCCCTCACTCCCTCCGCCCCCCTCGCTCTTCCCCCTGGCTGCCCCTGCTGCAGCGCCAGCACAGCCCGGGGCGGAGGGGAGAGCAGTGGGGGCGCGGGAGGGCAAGGAGGAAGGGGGGGGAGCAGCGGTGGGTGAGGGTGCAAGTGCAAGCCAGCCCAGTGCGTGGGCAGGTGCTCGGGGCGCACCCGCTGCTGCCCCGTCCCCTACTGCCCTCTCTGCGCCGGCCCCATCTGCCACTCCTGCTCCTGCCGCGCCTCTTGCCTCTGCTGCTGCTTCCCAGGCTGCTCCTCCTGTGTCTCCCCTGCCCGCGCCTTCCGGTGCAGGTGCAGCTGCAGCAGCAGCAGCAGCAGCAGCGACAGCAGCAGCAGTGGACGGGGCAGTAGACGTGCCCACAGCACCCGCTGGAGACGCCATCACACCAGCACCAGCGCTCTCGTCGCTCCCCACACCTGCTGCTGCTGCTTCTTCCACCGCTGCTGCTGCTCCCCGCTGCTGCCCCTACTGCTGTCCCCACGGCAGCAACAGGCCTGGCAGTCATAGGCCTTGCTCCCGCCACACTCCCCCCACCTCCCCCCCGCCCCCCGGGGGCCCTCCTGCCGGCGCGGCAGTGCTGGCTTCTTCCACTGCCGCCCCGCCCCTGCCGCCCGACGCCCCACCTGCCAGACCCAGCCGCCCAGCGCCGCCCAGCAGGCAGAAAGTGGGGTGGCGGGGGTCGTCCAGTAGCACGAGCAGCACAACTAGCTCGACAAGCTCGGGAACAGGATCGTCTGATACGAGCTCTTCCTCCTCTAGTCGCAGCAAGCCCTCGCACTCGCCCCTGCACTCCACACTCTCCTCCTCCCCCTCCCGCTCAGGGCCCCCCCGGTCGTCCTCTCTGCGCGCCCGTGGGGGGCGGAACGGGGAGGGGCGCGGGGGGCGCAGCAGGGGCAACGGCAGGTCGCCTGAGGGGAGGGGGGGAGGGGGGGGAAGGGGGAGAGAGGGAGCGGAAGGAGAGGGCGCGCGGGGGTGGGGTGGGGGGTATAGAGAGGACGGGGGGAGAGGAGTGGGGGGAGAAGCAAGGAAAGGGAAGGGGGCGGGAGCAGAGGGAGGGGAGAGGGGCGGGAGGGAGGAGTCGGCGCAAGGAAGAGGGAGAGGGGAGGAGAGAGGAGGGAGGTCTAGTAGGGAAGGGGAGGGAGGGGGTAGGGACAGGGATGGGGCGGGAGGGAGTGTGGGTGGGGGTGGAAAGAATGTACTCGCCTTCCCAGGAGAGGGGCGAGCGGGAGAAAGGGCGGGACGGGTGGGGGGGTCGCAGATACAGCAGTGGGGATAGGGAGAAGGAACGGGGCAAGGAGAGGGATTGGGCTAGGGAGCGGGATGGAGATGGGGGGAGGTACGATAGGAGGGGGAAGGATGACGGAGGGATGAGAGGGGAAGCAGGCGGGACAAGGATTGGGACGGGGGAGGAGCGTGAGCGTGACCGGGAGTGGGATGACCGGGGGCAGGGGAAGTCTAGAGACAGAGACAGGGACAGGGACCGGGACAGGGATTGGGAGAGAGATAGGGATAGGGACCGTGATAGGGACAGAGACAGGGACAGGGATAGGGACCGGGATCGGGATAGGGACAGGGATAGGGAGCGAGAGAGGGAGCGGGGAAGAGGGGGGCGGGGAGTTGGAGAGAGACAGGAGGAGGGAGAGGACGTTTGGTGGGTCTCGAGGTGCCTTCCCTGGGTCAGCTTCATGGGCTGCTGAGAAAGACGCTATCGATGGCCCTGCTG